TCGCTGTTGTCACGCTGCTGATGACGTCAGCGACGCGCTTTAATCGGGCGCGCTTTAGTGGACCGCGGTTTTGTCGTGCCACGCTAATTTGTTGTTTCAAATGCAAGGACATCATTGCAAACCTGGAGAAGTACAAAGTCTGTAAGGGGCCTGATTTCTGTTTTCCATTCTAATAAGTTCACTTTAAAAATGTGGACCAAACAAATTCGTTCAAGCCCTAATCAGAATGCCTTTCTTCTTGGCCAAAAGATTTACATAAAACAGGATGCACCATCTCTCAGCAACAAAATAGATGACTCTATTGAGATGAGTAAATGAGAAAGCATTTCTTATATCTAATTTCCCTTTCCAGAATCCATATAGGAACTAACAGTAACTAAAATTAGAGGCTTCAGCTCTGTAGATTGCTGGCTGCTAGTTTCAGTAATTTGCCTAAATTGAAGCGGGGGAAATCCCTAAACTATAATTCTCAGAACTGGCAGCCAGAATGATGAGGGATGCTGAATTTGGCAGCTTCTGGAAAAACACAGGTTCTCTACCCTTGGTCAAAATAGCTATTAAAAATATATTCTTTTCCACCCCAAAATTACAGTTTGTCTCCGTAACCAAATTAATAATATTTTTATATGTTGTAGCTATTTGAAAGAGATTCAACAAAGAGATTGGGAATAACTGGAAACATCAGAGATCACCATTTTTTCAAAGCAATTAATTGGACAACACTGGAAAAGAGAGAGATGGAACCTCCTTTCAAACCAAAAGTGGTATGTAGCTTTAACTTCTGTTCCACGCACTCGAAAGCATGGAATTTTGATGCTTGCATCCTTTGTCTTCTGTTCATTGAAGCTAGATCTAAAGGCACAATACATGGAATCCCTTAATAGAACAAGTAAATTTTTCTCTTTTCCATCTCACTTGTGCATATACAGGTGACTTATGGCCACAATTGACCCTGGAATTTGGGATCATAAGTGGTTGCAGTTGTAAGTTAAATCACCACATACCATATTTTTCGGAGTATAAGACGCACTGGAGTACAACACGCACCAAGATTTTGAAGAGGCAAATAAAAAAAAAGGTTTTGCACTCTGCAGACCTCCCCAAAACAGCCCGTTTTTCACAAAAATGGGCCCATTTTTTGTCAAAAAAAGGACATGCATAGCCTTTAGGAGGCTTGTAGAGTGCTGCTGGGGGGGGGTCTGCCCCCCCCAAAATGAGCAAAAAATGGCCCATTTTTCACAAAAATGGGCCCGTTTTTGTAAAAAAAAGGCATGTGTAGCCTTTAGTAGGCTTATAGAATGCTCCTCGGGCTGGGGGGGTGGCAAAAATCAATGTTTTTCACTCATTTTTGTGCTCCCCAGCCCCAGCCCCATTTTTGCAATGGGACTGGGTTTCAGGAGGCCAAAAATGCTGTATTCAGTGAATAAGACGCACCCAGACTTTCACCCTCTTTTTTGAGGGAAAAAGGTGCGTCTTATAATCTGAAAAATATGGTAACTAGGCTTGATTTTACGATCATTTTTATGATGGTTGTTAAGCGACTCACAATAGCTTTTAAGAAAATCATGAGGCTGTAGGTACAAACCCAGTTATTGCATAAGTATGTTTTGGTATTTTAGCACAAATGTGATCTTGTGACCAGGGGATGCTGTAACTGGTTATAAATGCAAGTCAGCTGCCAAATGCCTGAAATGTAAATTATGTGACTGTGGGGGTGATGCTACAGTCATAAATTCCAGGACTTTTTACAAATTCATTGCAGTTTTGAATGGTCTTTAAGAGACCAGTTGTAAGTTGATAATTTACCTGTAACTACCGTATTTTTTGGAGTATAAGATGCATTGGAGTATAAGATGCAGCAAGGTTTTGAAGAGGAAAATTTTTAAAAAGTTTTTGTACTCTGCAACCTCCCAAAAATGGCCCGTTTTTCGTGAAAACGGGCCCATTTTTTTTTCAAAATAAGGGCATGAATAGTCCTTAGGAAGTTTATAAAATGCTGTTGAGGGGGCAAAAATGGGCCGTTTTTCTCTCATTTCTGCCCTCCCCAGTCCCCAGGAGCTTTCTGAAACCTTCTAAAAGTTATGCATGGCCATTTTGGTGAAGGGGCAGTTTTGGGAGGCAAAAAATGCTGTATTCAGTGTATAAGATGCACCCAGATTTTCAGCCTTTTTTGAGGGAAAAAGGTGTGTCTTATACTCCAAAAATATGGTAATAGTAACATAATAGTATTTAATTTGCATATTCTTTAAAAACTAATTTTTAGTTTGAAATATTTCCAGCATTTTAAAAAATATCAAAAAACCCTGAACAATGCGAAATTCAGTAAATAACCATGTTTTGAGCGTTATATTTGTCACATAATTAGGCATCAGTTAATGCTAGTTTGTAGTCAATTCTTCAAACATTCCTGGCCTACCCATTTTTTTTCAGCTTCCCCAAAGTCTATAAAATAGGTTGAGTTAAATTGTTCATGGCCACTCAGCAGAATGGCCAAAGAGTTGTTTTGGGCAGAAAGACCATCAGCAATTGACACTCCATGGATTTGAGGCCCTGCCTAACAATCTTGGCAGTGTAGGTCATTTCAGCTATTTTTAATTGCTTCTGTTCTTCTTTACAGAAATCAGCAAGTGACTATAACAACTTTGACAGAGAATTTTTGAGTGAGAAACCTCGATTATCCCACAGCGACAAAAACCTAATAGATTCTATGGATCAGTCTGCATTTGCTGGTTTTTCATTTATCAACCCCAAATTTGAGCAAATTCTGGAGAAATAATTAAGTAATCGAATTCTGGGGAACAGCCCTAATGAAAGCTTTCCAGCTCTTCATATGGAATGTGACTGAAAGACATTCACCTCGTTGTGACCAACTGTGTAGTGATTAATGCTTCTGCTAATTCTTTAGCAACTGGCAGAAACCTTGTCTTGTAAAACTGAAGTATCCTTGTGAATTATGTGCATATGATTTTCTTTGCAACCGGGAAAGTGTAGATGTATGTGTGTTATTATTTGAATGTAGTTATTTCTTTGGACAATGTGTGTTGCAGGTGTGCTTTATTTTGCTTAAGAGGGGAGATATTGATTATGAAGATACAGTTTAAATACAGTGACATATTAACACATTAACACATTAATTCTCATCAAGCAAAATGGCATGACAATCTATTCAATTAAATCTGGGTTTCAAATATTGGTATTTTTAATAAATGCCATCGGTTAATACTGCTTCCTGTAACATGTATCCTTCCTTAAAATTTTATTTTCTTTTAGTTCCTGGATAAAAATATTAAAATCATGAGATAGAAGAATTTCTAAATGCCCTTTTCTACTTTGCTTCCACAATATATAATTGTGTTCATTGATTAGAATAAAGTGTTTGGTGGCACCTTAAAAATACACACCTGCCATTGTGTATTATCCACACTCTGGATAACCAAGAGTACACCAAAGTATACATACTTGATAATTTTAATGCTTTGCAAGACTAAACTTGCATGTACAATCTAAAATTCACATGATGGAAGAAATCCTATAAAACAGTCGAAGTTACTTCTGAGTAAACAAATATATGCACCCTTTTCCAAAGATACAGAATGAAGATAATGGGGCAAAGAAAATAAGCTTGGCAAATGCACCTTGAGTTGATTTGAGAACAATTGAAGTATTATTTTGATTTTGGAAGAAAAGAAATGAGCAACCCCAAAGCATACAAGTGAGTTTTGCAGGTGCATTTTAGCAACAAAAAATGGAAATAAATATATTAAGCTTCTGAGAGGCAAAATGTATATTTCTTGGAAACACCTTACAGTATGCAGAGACTGAACAAGTTTAGATTCATGAATACTTTGATGTCATTGGACATGATCTATAGATAGCACCTACCAATTGTCCATTAGGTTGTCCATTAGTGTAGGCCAATATAAGTTGCGTCATCATTTAAGAACTTTTGGTGAAATTGTTATCTGGTTTCTATAGGAATATTTAAATGTGCAGTTTGTTATGAGAAGGCTATTTTTTACTTTATAACAAAATATTTTTAATAGAGACAATGGTAACGTATAGAACAGTTGAAACTTGAAGACTGAGAATTTTCTTATTCTTGAAAGACTTGATGACACTTAAAATGTAAATAAATATGTTCTGTTGTTCTCCCACTTCACCTGATTTTTACGTCTTGTATCTAAATTACTGTCAACTTTTCAAACATATATATTATATAGCTTAGCACCCAAGCACCGTAGCTGTTCAATAAGCTAGAAAAGTAGCGAAATGGTATAAAAAAGGAAAGTCCTCTTTGTGGAAAGCTATGCAACATACAACAATCTTGATGCATCAACTTTTCATCAATGGCTTAACCAGCACGGCTTACTCCGTTGACACAAATATCTGGCTAATTTCACAAGTTTTGATTTTGTCATTTTTGATAAGATTAAAAGCATGAACCCAGCTGAATTCTAAGGTGTCCCAAATGGTATTGTAAAACCATCAAATTTGAACTCGTAAATAAAATGCAAAACATTCTACTTTATGAAGTCACAAACATGGAAGCTTTAGAATTGGCTGATATGTAATGGTGTTACATGGGGCTAAGCAATGGGACTCTAGCTTAGTTAACCTGGCACAAATCAATGTGAGAATGACAACTATGAAGCTACTGCTACTTAAAAATATATAGCTTGACTGCTGCAGTTAAAAGCAAAATAATATATTGCTTACTGGAATAGAAACTTTTTCTAATTAGCACCATCGATGCATCAGAAACACAGAAGTGTAAAGGGTAGAATATTGCCAATCTTCAGCTACAACTTTGTGCATCTATTTTACTAGAGATTTCAAATTTAGATTCACTATCTAAATGCAAATGTTACTTTCAGCATTTACTGTGTAAAAGCTGAATCAGCAGATGAAGTTATCGAAAATAGTGATTTTGTGTAAACAAACCAAACTGTCTCTATACATTAATAAAACATTACTATACGCTACTTGGTCAAACTGAAACTAGCTTAATACTATTAGAAATCTAGAAAAATGTTTTAATGTGTGCAAAGAGAGCAGCATGCTTCACTACATGTGCTTTGATGCAACTTTGGATATTTAAAAGCAAGGACTGAAGAATTCACAGACCAACTGCATAGATTCAACAAAATCGGGATGTGAGAGGGCAATCAGGATGTGATATCTGCCATTTCAAGTTCACCAGGATTGTTTGGGCTAATCTGGCTGGCTGTAAGGTGTTCCCTTTCCTTACAACTTCCTATGCATCCTTCCTAAATCTGTGCAGTTGGTGGAAGGGACAACCATCCCAGAAGGAGGTCTACTGATGATCTCTCAAGGGTGTACAATAAGTCCCCTGCTAGAATTGCCAAACAAACTCCAAGGAATAACCTTACAGAGCAGGTGAAGCTTGTTAAGTCACAGGCAACCTTGTATACCTTGCTTATTATATCCATCACAAAGAGCAGTCTCGGTAATACTGCACAAATCAGTGGGATCCAAAGCTGCTGAATACAACAGGCATTAGCAGAACCACAACTACTATTAGAAAGGACAAAGTCACAATCTCAAGCACATTCCATACATTGTTTCATTGTCTTTAAAGTCATCAGAAGCATTTTTACAACTCATTTTGATAATGAGATGAAACTTCATTTATATAATTACAGTAAATTCTGCAGGTTTAAAAATTGAATTCCACAAGAATTGCTCATACATGACGTAAAACTTTTGAGTCTTTAAAGTAAGCCGGCAGGTTTCTTTTCATTCATTTATTTTAAAATAGAGTATTTTATATAAATATAGCAACGTAGTATATCATCAAAATGTGCTTTCTTGGAGAGACTTTTTAGAAACATTTATTTGATGATTTAAGATGGTGATCTTAAATATAGTAGCAAAATTCAACTTACAAATAAAGAAATTAAAATGCACTTTAATTTAGAACTGATATTTTATTCTTTTGGAGAAAGATTTAACACATCTCTTATAGAAAGTAATAAATTGCCCAACTATAGTTGAAAAATCTGCATTAAATAAATGAACAATCATATCTGAATTAAAATTTAATTCAAAATCATATGAACCCATCATACAAATTGAGAAAAAAATAATGTTTATAACATTCTCATTTCCATATTATTTCTATAAGCTATTTCACACATTAAGCAAATGCCAATAATGGCTTCTTGTTTAAGAGTCACATGTTTCTATAATTCATTTTTTATTCTTAAAAAAAGGTAAGTCCTGTGAAACAAAATATTCAGCAGGTATTCTGGAGTGGTTACAAGTTTATCTACTAGAAACTGATAGTGAACAATTTTTATGATTGATAGTTTTTGGACTTATTTACTTGGAAGGTAGTGCAACTAATTTCAAGAGGCTCACTTCCAAAGTGTTTTTTAAAATCACAGCTTGTTAAATCAGAATCAACAATTTCTTAGTCTTTTCAAGTATCAACATAAATTTATAATTTGTATTGCATACAATTATTTTTTTCAGTTATATGGCCTTTTCTCTGAATAGAAGAAACCAAAGTTAACAAGGTACATTTATATATAACCTATAAAAATATCTACTATACATTAAATACTTAGCCACCGAGTTGTACACACTAAAAAAATATTGAGATATGCAAACAAATATTTCTCTTCAATAAAGGGAATCTGTGAAGCATTGATACATTTTCAATGAAGGATAGTCTATTGCCTTCATTTAGAAATAAGTAAAATGATATTTTCTACAAAATTCAAAACAGATTTATACATTCACACATTTTTCTTCTGGATAACCCTAAACATTTAGAGAAATTAACCTCCAATACCCCACATCCAGAGAAGTTCAAAAAGTATCATGATAAAACACAACTGCTGAATAAGAGAGAGACCTATTAAAATACAATGGTGATTTTCCTGGTCCCTTCTAGTACCGTAGAGGCAGTCTTCAATTTATGACAGCAATTGGGACTGCTTAGTGATGGCAGTTCTGGCAGCCTAAGTTGTTGTTAAGTAAGGACCTCCCATGACTTCCTCACAAACTTGCCAGCTTCTGTAGTATTTGTGGGAAGCTGGCAGGGAGTGTCTAAATTTGTGGTCTTGTGACAGAAGGAGCAGTGCAACGACTGGATCTCTAAGGACCTGTTGTAAGAACCACTTGTTAAACATTGTCACAGGTTTCAAACTGTTGCTAAATGTAAGCCAAGACTGCTCGTATTTACCCAAACAGAAGGCAACCCATCCCCACGAAGGGTGTGGGGGAAGCAAATGCATTATATTATGGGAAGGAAGCCTATGGTTGCCACTCCAGATGAAACCAATCCTGGACATTTCCACACCTCTTCTATATTTATGGCATCACTTGTGTATGTTAGGCATCCATGCAGCTGTGCTTATGTATCTTCTAAAAATGAAGTCTTAATAAAGACAGGACCAGAACAAACATTATTAACCAATTCCCTGTGTGCACGTCAATCATTCTTTCACATATAAGTCAGTCTTACACAGACAAATATGTATGAATACATACACCTCCCTCCTTCCTTCCTTCCTTCTAATGAAAGTGGGGAAAAGGGGAAGCAACTGAGTTTTGGGGTGACTTCCCTGAAAAATAAAAACAAGAAAACAAGTGAGAGGTATATTTGGATGGGGATCAAAGACAGAAAGAAGCCTTGTTTAGGCATTACAGAAAAGCAGTCTCTCCCATTTTCTCTGTTATTTTCAACAGTACCTTTCCACTAAATGACTGAATTCAGAGATACTGAGGTGGGGTGGGGGAGTGTTTCTTCTAGCCAGGTAAACACAGTAAATGATTATCTACCTGAATAAATACTTTACAATGCAACATTCATTTTATGATAAAATACAGCTCAAGTGCTTTTTACATGTTATTTAATAATTTCTATTGTATTACCACCGTTTTATCTTTCTGATGTAAGCTTGACTTTCTGGCTTATTTCTGCATGGCCACATCATACATGATAGCACCAATGACAAGAAAATAAAAAGAAACAATCTGACCCTCATTTGCAAAGCTAACACAGTACATTGCACAGAGTTTTTACCACTAAGATAGTATGGTTCAATAAGGTATCTATATATAGTGGGATTTTTAAAAACACTTCCAACTGGTGAGGACAAAACTATTTTTGTTTCAACGACTTACAGGTATCTAATCCGCTGTTTGATTTCTATCACATAAATAACGACATTATATAATGATGTATATATACATGACTTAACATGCAAACTCAAAGAAGAATTGCTTCTGTACAAATTCCATTCGAAAGCAGGATGTTAAAATTCTGCAAATTAACTTGCATTCTTCTGTGCATCTTTCAGAATCCAACTACAGGAGCAGTTATCCCATCTTTCTTATGCTTTCCTCTCAAGTCATATCGGAGGAAAAGCAGTATAGATGCTAATACCTAAAGGTGATGATGATGATGATGACAGTGACAGGGCAAAAGGATGTGCTGGTTCTCTTTTGTGAAAGAACTCCAAAATGCTAAATCAGGGCTTAGCAACAAAGCTCTTGCAAACATCTCTGTGTCCACACACCCAATTAATGTTTTAAAAGCATAGAAAATTTTAAAAGGCAGAAATCGTGTGCCATTTTCCAAATCTTCAGCATTTTGAAATTCTTGCATGAATGTCTCAGGCAAGAACACTGATATCTGAGAAAGTTTCAGTCAAGAATGGGTTAAGCTGAATGAAATCTTGTAAGATTTGATGGTCCTGCAAAGTCTTAAAAGACAATTTGAAAAACTGTCATTGTTGTTTACATTGGGAAGGAAACCTTCTACTATTACCTGAACTTGTTAATGGTATTCAGTGCTTGACATCCGCTAGCTCCTCTAGTAAAAAAATATCTTCCAACTTAACTATGCCTACATTTTAAATGAAAAATGGAGGGGCATGATAGTTATCTACCCCCAACCCCACCGCAAAAAAACTACTCAAAACAAGTTGCCGTGTTTTCCCGAAAATAAGACAGGGTCTTATTTTCTTTTGACCCCCCCCCCCAAAAGAAGCACTTGACTTTATTTTCATGGAGGTCTTATTATTTTTGAGGTGCAGGAGGCAGTGAGTGTGGTCACCTCATGGCTGCAGCTGTGTTGCAATCTTTTTTGGGGAGGGCTTATTTTCAGGGGGGCTCATTTTAGCACATGTGCTCAAAAGCCCAATTGGGCTTATTATCCGGGGAGGTCTTATTCTCTGGGAAATAGGTTAGTACTTTATCTTTGGTTTAAGGAAAAGGAAGAAGTGCATCAATACTATGAACTTAAGTCAGATTAAGTGTTTCGCAAAACTGGTGGTGGTCCCCAACTTTTTCGGCTTTATGGACTGGCAGCTGCGGGCAAGAAAGGAGAGTGTAGCAGCTGAGTGCACTTGCACAAATGGGTGTTTTGTGCATGAGTATGCAAGACTGCAACTCGCACAAGTGGAGCTGTGCACGCTCACCCACTACTTGTGCAGCCCAGTTCCAAATGGGTCATGACCCAGTATCCAGTGGTCCAAGGATTGGGAGCCATGTATAAAATAGTGCTTATGGAAATTATGAACAATATGCGGGCCAACTTTGGCTAATTACAGTATCCATCAGTATTCTTAAATAGAATTAAAGATATTTAAAAGGGGGGGCTTTGAAAATGATTTTACTTTGTATATGAAGTAGAAAGAAATCTGTTATTTTCGATCAAAAAATCATTTGAGAAAATTATCTAGGAGGCTCTGGAGCACTTTATAATACCATAAAAGAGAAAATATTTTAGATACTAAAATGAAAATATAACCTTTAATAAAATTATTTAGAAAGTTGGTGTTATAAATACCAACTGCTACAGCATTACTATCCCACCCCAAAACTGGAAATATTAATAGCCCATTTTATAACATTGAATAGATTATAAACATGTAGCTTTTTGTGTTATTAACCAAAGCAATTATGAAATTAAAAAAAACTTGAATGAAGTTTGATGGAGATGATATATCCTGTCTAGTACATGAAAAAGTTTAAAATACTTTTGGTGTGCATAAAATTTCATGTGCATTAAGTTTGAATAAAATAATCAGAGGATTGTTTTTAACAGAAAGACCAGCTTAAGAAAATATTCTAACTCTAGAAGAATCTCAAAATAAGACCTAACAATTTATACATATAAACATTCAAGATCAAAAATGACAGGCTGAAGACAAAATATATTAAATTAAAACTAATTTCATCCTGTGTTCCTTAAATACTTGGTACATTTTTTACTTTAATGCTCAGTTTGTCTTGAAATCCATTTTAAAAGAAGAGATCAGGCATTTTTCTGCCTTGTTGGCTGCTTCCTTTGAAGGCTTTCATCATCGTGTCCCTGAGAAGTGTCCTTAATGTTGACATTGGATAGCAGCCTGGGACAGTGCTGGGAGACCAGAGAGCTACACATGATTAGGTACAGTCCTCAAGGCTTCTTCTCGAGAGCGACTCACACACACATTCTGAAAATAAAATAAGAAGAATTGGTTAGCAACCTTTAAGTGGTTCATAGTCCAAGGAAATGCATAGTTAACTCTGGCCTGACCAAGAAGATTCTCTTGATAAATTTAGGGAATTAAGACAGTAACCCTGCACTGAGATTAACCTCTTAGAAAAATGCCCTCTTATGCCAAAATGAATAATTTGGCTTAACTACATCCGAAGATAAGCTGCCTTTAGAGATCTTCAGATCTAATAAATTCCTTACATTTCTGAAGATGAACTGCAGTTGCAGACCCACATTGTATTCTAGAGATACATGCTCTCCAAGCAGCTACCTTCAAACATAGAATAAAACATGTAGACCATGAGAAAAAATGACAACTTTGGGGTTTGGGAATTTACCAGAAGTTATAGATACATAAAATCACGCATAGCATATAAAAAATTTTATTCTCTCGCAACACTAGAATTGAGGAGCAGGAGAATTTATAAAGAAGTCTGATTCAAGATTATACAATGAATAATAGCAGCTGCCCACTGGCTGACATAGTCAATAAACTTTTTCAAAGTTCAAGTTACTACCAACTCAAAAGATGATGGGTTTTATTCAATATGAACTCCTGGGGCCCACATATTGGCTTCAGTAGGTATAGCAGAAGACTGTTTTTCACCATTAACTAACATGAATTTAGAATCATGCACAGCACAAATGTTTTTAGCTCTTCAAGTAACCCCAACAGACAGCAAAGATTTTATTTTCAATATACATGCACAAGCACAGGAGAATCACAACTTCTGAGTGTCATTCATCTAAATCCACCCACCTCTCCTCCACTTTCAACCAAATCTCTTTTTTCTACCCCACAATCTAGGAAGCACTACAACTTCCTACGTTAGCAAATCACATGACAGTTTCATCAGTAATACTGCCAAATTTTTTCCTTCACTAGAGAAGGCTTGTAATAAATGTTGATTTTCCTACACATGGGCCCTGTTTTCAGCTACCAACATCTGACTATATCCTGCCGAATGCTGCAGATTGGTTGGTATGTACTAAGTGGATACATGACATATAGTTTAATTTTGATTAGCTTGCATTAAATACAACCCTGAATCAAGCAAGCTATTAAACAGCACAACCTTTTACCGAAACACCTACTTTCAAACAGGCTAGCAGAGTAGTGATATAGTGAAAGATTACAAAATGGGTCTTTCTTTAGTGCCCACGAGACTCCCCCTTGCACCAACTTTTTCATTCAATGACTAAGAAATCTTAAACATAAGGTCAAGTATGACACATTATGTCAAGAAGATATTGCTGAGATATGCTATTATGGTCCTGTATACAAAAGAGATGCTGCATGCAAAATTTTGGACAGCAAAAAGAAGGCAGCAAAAAGAAGGCAGCAAAAAGACGCCTAAAACACTGTGCTTTCGCTGCCATCTGACTTTTGCATCTCAGATATGGCAGACCTAGTGATAAGCCACAAAGATGAATACGAGCCACAAGAGCCTAAAGGGAGAGGAGATAGGATTCAGCAGAGCAAATGAGGAAGCCATGGGAACATGCAACTTTACATCCTGATCATGACTTCCCTGAACATTTCCAAAATCCACTGAGCAGAGGCAACACCAGATCAAGGGCCAGAGCTGAAAGATGCAGAAACACAACACAGCCGAGAAAGGAGCAAGTCACAAATGCTCTTATGTGGACTACATTTGGAACCAAGCCAGCGCTCTTCAGCTGGTTTAGAAAAAGCTTTGAAACCTAGGAAGTAAAGACGGGCAGTTGGAGATGGGCCAACAACATTTAAAAAATACTGCCCACTTAATAGGAAACAACTTTTTAGATACATTAAAATCAATCAGAATTAGAATTTCTAATGATAGATTTTACATTGGTCAATGACATTGGAATAAACATACTATCACCTGAAAAATATCCAGCTATCTTCTCATTGATTCTATTGTATTTATTGCAACTATCAGATGTATTGTAACTATTAATAACTTAGGCACTGAAAGTACTGAACTGAGCTTTACTGGACATAGAACATTAAATTAAAAATCAGCAATAGTTAAGTTATATTGCAAAAGGAACTATTCATATTTCAGGAGAAGTGAACAATAACTTGTTAATTATTCAACTATTTAGTTCAAACAGTCTAAAACAATTTGATCCCCAAGTCATGCAATACAGAAAAACTGCTATATTCAAATTTGATTCCAAGGTGATTGGAATGGTTGATTGAAAATTAAGAAAGTATGATAAAAACAGCACCACATCTTTCATAGCTGATCAGGAAACAGGATTCACAGATGAGCAGGGACAGTTACAAGGGCATCCTCAGGAGGTCTGACAATGTCTACATTCTGTATAATAATAAAAATACAGAAAATATTTATCGTGCAGGACTACCAATCAGTGTTTCCACAAGTAATCTCCCGAATTTAAATTAATGGATGATTGCAATTCACCAAGCAAAATTAATGCCTGTTTTTCTTATAAACATATATTATTGATTTATAGAACAACCATAATGCTGTAGTTCCAACTTGGCACCGGCAACCTTCTTCCCATATACGGAGAGGTTACAATTTAAAAAACTCCAATTTCATTCATATAATTGTATCTAAATACCTGCAAACCTTGTTCTCTTACATTGTCCAGGTTAGTGGGGGCAGGGGGTGGCAATGAGGCTTAGCAACCTAGATCCGTTATGGAAGGAAACCACCACCACCCTTTTCAGTAATGGTATCTTCTTTTCTTCACTACCGCTTTGGTAGTGGGAGCTTGCGCACACACATCTGGGCATGTGCAGGAGGTCTGGGTGGGTGAGTGGAGCCTCGCGCCACCGCCACTACCGGTTCGCCCGAACCGGTGCGAACCGGTGGAATACCACCTCTGCCCATTTGCACCCATCTTTAATATGTTGCTATTAAATTGGCAAACTTAGTCCTAAAAGATTAGCCCTCTCCTAGCAGTGCTGTCATTTATATGGCAAATGGCTTGTTGTGCGCAAGTCTGAGGACTCTCAGCACAGAACTATATTATTAGTTGTTACTTCTGCTCACTAAGTCACAATGACCTTATGGGATACCTGTCTGTATACAGAAAGCAATGCAATATCACAGGGTCATTTAGCCATGCCTTCCTTTGGACCCAGGAA